ATTTTTTTAGCATACGTTTGTTTCATTTTCATTTTGACTTTAGATTCTGTGCCAGGATAAAGATGACTCACTACTTTCATTAGTAGTGTTCATTCCTCACATTTGTGAGTAATTAGGTTTACCATGAATCAGTTAGCTGATAGCTTGTTGATCAATTTCAAAAGGTTAGATAACATTGGCCTGTATGGTGCTTCTTCTTCTTCTTCCAGGTGTTTTCTCCACAATGAATCATCTTCCTCCATCTCACTCTGTCCTCTGTGGGGATGTGTATTGGCAAGAATTTGGTGATATGATGCCTGATGTCGATATTGGTTCACTGTTCCAGTACATCAAGCCTTTGGTTACTAATCTAGGGGTAAAGGTTGATGCTGGACTTAAGTCAACGAACCACATCAGAACAGTTGTGAAATTACTGGTAAGTTTTTAYCATCTAAGGCAGCTGGCTAAAGTAAAGCCAATTTTCTTTCCAAGAAACATTTTGAAACAGTACCATGCTGTTTTTTACCACTCGGCTTGACTACTGCAACACACTTTCAGTGAGTCCTGTTTCTCGCWGCTTCAGAGGGTACAGAATGCCACTGCATGTCTTTTAACTGGCACACGAATGTTTGATCATGTTTCCCCTGTTTTAGCCTCCCTGCACTGGCTGCCTGTATATTTTAGGAAGTTATGTTATTTGCTTTTAAAGCTAAGTCTTGCTCCGCCATATCTCTCCGATCTGCTACAGCCCTATAGGCCCTCTCGATCCCTCAGGTCAGCCGATCAGCTGCTCCTGACTGTGCCCCAGACAAAGCTCAGAGGTGACCGTGCTTTTTCTGTGGAAGCTCCTACATTATGGAATGACCTTCCTTTGGACATCAGACAGGCRTCTTCCCTGTCTGTTTTTAAATCTCTTCTTAAAACTCATCTTTTCTCTCTGGCCTTTGAACACAATTTGTAATGTTGTGTTGTTTTTATGTTTTTAATTTTCATTTATTTTTTTATTGATTTTATGAATGTATGCATGTTTTATTACGTGTATAGCACTTTGGTCCAGTGGGTGTTTAAAGTGCTCCATAAATAAAGATGGTATGGTATGGTATGGTATGGTATGGTATGGTATGGTATGGTATGGTATGGTATGGTATGGTATGGTATGGCATGGTATGGTATGGTATACGGTACTGATCACGGCACAGGGGGTCACAAAATGACATATCGCAATATTGTGAAACAGTAATCAAAGGCTTCGTCTTTTTTTCCCCTCCAAAGAATTCCAATAAAGAAACCTGGTGTGTAATCAGAAGAACACTAAACAGTGAGAGCTGCATTTGTTTTTCACATTTCTTCTTACAACTTCTATTTGTTAAGCTTTAATTGGAAAATCAATGCAGTACTTACGATAATCATAATCATGCGATAATTTCCATTATCAGGAAATGAATTATTGCGATATTTCACTGTATTGATATTTTCTTACACCCACAGTTCTCAGTGCTCTCTGTCCTTGCTCTGTCCTCTATGTGTCTCAGTTGTTTTCACTTGAGGCCGTTTGTTTAATTTATTTTGCACATGAGTGTGGGCGGCTGCGGAGAAGTGATAGGGCTCGGTATCATAAAGTCACAGGTTAGATTCTGTTGRCCTCTAACACTGCTACCTGYTGGAGAAGCTGACAGAAATCCTCTTTGGAAAAGAAAGTAGGCATCTCAAAGCCTGGTTGTCCTCTGTCTCAGCAGTTCAATTTAATTTTTTTTCAGCACCAAGTCACAACAAATGTCGTCTCATGGCACTGTACACAAAAAAAATAATCAATCTAAGGATAAGATTGTGTCAAATTGCCACTTCATCACAGTCTGCTTTGAGCAGCCCATCAGCATAAARGAAAAATCCCTTTTAACAGGAAGAAACCTCCAGAAAAACTTCAGGACAGGTGGTCATCTGCCTCGACCAAYTGAGTTTGAGAAGACAGGAAAGAGACAAAGACAAAAGGACTGGTCCAGGTGTTTTCTCATGTTAAAAAGAGACAAAGAAAACACAAACTGACGTCACAAAGCCCTCTCAGGTTCTTGAACAGAAGTTAAAAATAAAAATCAAATGTCCTCTGCWTAGGCCTGCRTCACACAGCRAGATWATTGTGCCGAATTCTGGCCCAATTTTTTACCCTTCCAACAGTCTTAAAGACATCCAGATTATCATGATGACTCTAAAGATAATCTGAGCAGATTTTCCTACCGTGGGTGGGGAGTTAAGACTTGATCTAGTTGACTCGGAAGGACATCGGGACCGCTCCAACCTCAAATTAGGGAYATTCAACTTGTTTGATTTTTTTTGTCCTTGTGTCACAGCGTGTGTGGCGTTCACCCAAGAACARATGAGCTCGCAGCCTATYTTAATTTGACTCAATGGCTCACCTCCTTGGAAGATGAGTCTGTCATGACTGCTTTCATTGTAATTTACCTGCACAGTATCATATTTTACTTTTATTGCCATGCACAGTATTTTTGTTTAATTTTTATTGTTGTTTCTATTCTATTATCATTACTACTCTTGCTATTGGTGCAGAGCAATATAAAGGTTTTTTTTGTGAACTGATGCTGCTGCTGTTACACCTGAATTTCCCCTCAGGGGGACAATAAAGGCTGTTTCTATTCTATTCTATTCTATTCTATTCTATTCTATTCTATTCTATTCTATTCTATTCTATTCTATTC